TTCTATTTATATTTATTATTTCTGCTACTGATTTATAACACCAATCATATTTATATTTATTTAGTTGGGGGGAGAAACCTAGAGTGAATAGTTCCTGTTTTAGTCAGTTTTTTTGTTTGTTTGTCTGTTTTTTTTTTTTTTTTGCCACTGTGACCAAAGGACTTGACAAGAACAATTTTAAAGGTGAAAAGTGTTGGGTGCAGAGCAGGCTGAACTGTGTTGTCTGCAGGGCAGGCTGAACAGATGTTGGCTGCAAGATAGCCCACGCACTCAAACCCCCCTCTATCTGGTCCTTTATCACCTGTTTGCCTCAAGTCTGAACATTCAACCCTGCTTAAAGCTGAACACTTAACCCCCCCTTGGGCCAACAAGGCAGCTTGCAGACTCAGAGGCCCCATTAGATTTGGGCTATAAAAACTCCCTCCTGCCAGGCCCCCCTCTCTCTTGCTCTTTCTCTCTTGCTCTCTCTCTCTTACTCTTTATCTTTCTTACGCGCGCTCTCTGTCTCTCTCTTGCTCTTGCTCTCTCCCTGTTCATCTCTTCTCTTTTCTCTCTCTCTCTTTCCTTCTTTCCTTTCTCTTTGTTGCACTGCTGCAATAAAGATCTTTTGGTTGCTCTGAGTGTTGTGGTCACTTTCCTTTCAAAAAGTTTACATGGGGCTCACAGTTTCAGAGTTCTCAGTCCATAGACACTGACTCCATTGCTTCAGGACCAAGATAAGGCAGGACATCGAGCAGAAAGGCCTGATGAGGGAAAAGAAGTCAGGACCGGACAATCAGGAAGCAGAGAGACAATTCTTCTCACCAAGGACAAAATAGATATCCCAAAGGCACGCTCCTAGGGGCCCACCTCTTCCAGCCACACCCTACCTGCCTACGGTTTCCAGTTAATCAATTCAAGTGGGTTAATGCACTGAATTAGGTCAAGGCTCTCATTTCACTTCTAAACTTACTTGCATTGTTTCACACGTGAGCTCCTATCTGAACTAAGCAGTTTCCGTACACGGAAACTATTATTTAGAGGTTTTTAAAATTCACCATCTTGAAATGTAATTCTGGTTACAATGTTTCGTTCTTAGAAAAACCGAGGAAATGAATTTCAGAATTTATCCCATGTTGTTACAGTGAATCAGTTTGTTTTAAAACATTTCCACATAAAGCTTATGTGTGACATAGTGCAAGGTTTAGAGGTGAAATGAGGGGGTTGTGAGAGCCATAATGCAATCAGTGAATTAATCCCCTGACAAGAATTAATTGATAACTGTAGGTAGGTAGGGTGTGGCTATTTGGGGTTTATTTGGGTTGTGCCTTTGGGGTTTATATTTTGTCCCTGAGTGGATTCCCCCCTTCCCCCCCCTTCTTGGTGGCCATGTCCTGACCTACTTTCCTCTGCCACACTCTTCTGCCATGATGTTCTAGCAAAAGACCTGACAAGAATACATAGTCTAAGCAAATTGTTCAAACATTGTTCTCACTCGGCTTACTTTTCAATTTTGATTTTACTATCCTTATGAGTACTATTCTTTTAAAGCCATAATATGAAATTTAAGTAAATTAAATAAAAGTCTTTAAGCATCAGAATCCATTTTAAATCTGAAAAAGATGTATGTGTCTTGAGGGAAAGCACCAACCTCTCATATTTTGTATAATGTATATTTTTTCCATTCATTTAATTTTGTGATAATTATTATCCTAACTACTATCAACAAAATTATTGATTTGGTATCTTGCTACATTTTATCTCATATTTTCATCAAGAACAATGTGCTATATATCTTAAACTGTATCTAACCTTTGGTACATAACTAACAATAATTTGTTATAATTAATATTAACTTTGAGATTGACTTATAAGGTTTTTGGTGATGGGTTTATTTTTTAATACGTTTTAAAAATTTTTAGTTATAGATGGACACAATATCTTTATTTTGTTTACTTATTTTTATGTGGTGCTGAGGACCGAACCCAGCGTCTCACATTTGCAAAGCAAGTGCTCTACCACTAAGCCACAACTCTAGCCTGATGGGTTTATTTTTTAATAAAGTCTTCTATTTCCCATATTATAAAATTACTCCCTACTCCTGTGATATCAGCTCATGTAGGATTACTGGCTGCTGGAAGGCAAAGGATGTTTTGTTTGTTTGTTTACATTCACTTAACTTCCAGTCATATTGATCCAGTTTTTATATGGTATTTGGTTGGTTGTTTGGTTGGATGACAACATGAGCATTTTTGTTAGACAAGGGAAAAATTATTTAATTCTGGAATCATATATTATTGGGGCCTGACAGATCTTTTCCTTTGGAAATCTGACAAGATGTTTTTGTGTGATGTCATATGTAACAGGGGTTCCTACAGGGCGTTAGGGATCTTAGCACCTAGCTGTTATTTATCCATGTTTTTGTTTCTCTTTCAGTAATGATTTCAAAAGATGTGGTATCTTTGAAGAAAAAACAAGTTGAAAGAATAAGTTGATCTTAAATAAATATTGAAAAGTGTCCTAACATCAATTTAAAAACTAGAAACTCAAAAGTGATTATAGAATGATGATGTCCGCATGCATCTAATTTCATCTAATTGTCAGTGACTCTGTGACTCTCTGAGTATATTAAAATTGATAATTCAAAACTTAAAATGTTTATATAATGAGAAACAGTATGAGAACAAAGATATGTTTGTGAACAAATTCTAAATTCAGTATAATAATTTAAAAGGTAGGTTTTTCAAATGGATTCAATGTTGACTTCAAAGGAAGGGTGGGTTTTGGTACTTCCCTTCTCATGTTCATTATCAGGCCTCCTCAAATAATAATGGTAATGTCAACAATAAAATGGTTAAAATTAAAGACACATGATGGGTTAGAAGGCTCTGTGGACTCTGGCGTCCTCGCACCAGGGTCTTCTCATCCTGGAAACACAGCTGGTCCTGTAGCCCTGTAGAGGGCAGCAGCCTGTCAAGACTGGTCTTTGGTTCTTCCAACCGTGCACTGAGCACAGGCTCTGTGTGTTCCTGGCCAGAGGCTATCATGGTAAGGACTAAGGACTCTCCATTTGATGTGGACACCACTCTAAGGGAGATGTAAAACTTCTTAGCTATCAAGTGGATAAACTGTTTGTTTTTACTTTAAATAGGAAATTGTTTTCTAAGACTAAAATACTTGAATTGTCAAACATAATCTCAGTTTGTATTAGTTTAGAATAATCTTGTTGAGGGAGTGCTGATCCATGAAATGTGAATAAATGGGAAGTAAACAAAAAAAATATTAAAGACACATATGCAAGTGAAAACAAAAGCTTCTTTAGAAAATTTTGATATTAAAAAAAGTGCTAGTTTGCAAAGAATACTTGAAGACTAGGTGCCTCTTTCTCCATCCAGTGCTTACCCTGCCAGTCCTCCTTGTAACACATATACAGCTACTAATGTAATGTCTTTTTGGAGCAGTCTTGAAGCCTGACCTGCCACTTATTAATGATTGTCACCTAAAATAAGGCTAATAAGACCCTGCCTCATAGAGTTTCTGAAGGAAGTGTTCCTTAGCTTATAACTTTTGTCTGTTAGTATTCATGTTTTTCATCTGTTATCTAAGGGTTGATATTTTTGAGAAAATTTTAAAGATTAAATCCCTGTCGTTTATAAAATACACAGGATGAAAGTAGAATTCTTAATGTAATCATGTGTCTTAGGATCATCCACAAGATGATCTGTTTTATACACAAAGCCTAAATTTTTATAGAAGATACACCAAGGTGGATTTCAGACAAGAATTCTCCATTTCATTAACAGAAAAGAATTCAAATTAACAAAGGCTTCTCTTATTTGTGCTGCAGAAAATTTTAGAAAGGATAAGCAATAAGATCAATTAACAAAAGAAGTCTTTAAAGTGTCCAAGAACTTTTAAATTTGTAGAGTAACATTGTAGTGATTTGTGCTACTGATGTACCTCCTCACACATCTTGAAATTAGCTATATTTAGTTCTGTAGTAGGCAGGAGTGGTATTTTAGGGATTTACTAGGTTAGCTGAAACATAGTAATCCCCACTTATCTTCAGTTTCTCTTTGTAAGGTTTTGGTTACTCCTCCTAACTTATGGATAGAAGTTTATAGCTTAATGCTATATTACAATGCTTATGTCATTTACTTTCATTTCATTCCATAAGCATTACCATCTAGACAGTATGTGAATATAGTACAAGATTTTTTGAAAGGGACCATGTTCACATAAATTTTATTACAGTGTATTGTTATAATCATTCTATTTTATTAGTTATTGTTAATCTTTTCTGTGCCTAATTTACAAATTAAACTTTATCATAGGTATGTAGGAAAATATATTTGTGTATGTGTGTGTGTGGGGGGGGGGGGCGGTTTAAGTAATATCCTGTTTCATGCATCCACTGGGATCTTGAACGTCTCCCTCACCTATAAGTCAGGGTACTGTCTTCAGAAGTGTTACTTAAATACTATCCCTCTGACTTCGAGAAATACCAACACCCTAGAAAATTACCATCTGAACTAAGGACTAGGAAAGTCTACCTGCCACAGATTCATCAATATTACAGAGTTCTGTTTGTCTTAACTTTGTCTTTGTTTTAATTAGAAACAATGCAAATAAAGTGCTCAATATAAAATACAGTAGTCTCACAATAAACAACAGTACCATCACTTTGTCATGGAATACCTCATATTCTCTTATTTGTACGTCCCACCAACACCTAGCTTATATTTGGCGATCACATAAATATTTATCGAATGCGTGGATGACATTTACGATAGTCCCATTGCACTCTGTGGTCAAATTCTGCAATACCCAGTTCCGTCCGGGTTAGACTACGAAGTCCTAGAAAACCAGGGATAAGATTGGTTACAAGTTGCTCACGCTCAAACTACAATTCCCAGCATTCACCGAAACGCAGCGGTCGCAGTGCGCTCTGGAAGAAGTGTATTTTGTGCGGAGACTGCGCAAATCTCTACATCCGAGTCCTGCGGAACTCATTTTGTGTGCAGTTATTTTAGCCGGTAGGATTTAAGAACAGCTTCATTTCCGGTACCACCGGAAGCAATTGGAAAATGGCGTCTTCTTTGCCGATCGGTCCCGTTCCAGTAGCTGGGAAAAGTGAATTTCGCAACCAGAAGTCAAAGCCGGAGAGCAAAGGTGAGGTTGTATGAAAAGTGAAGTCTTGGTTTTGTGGATATTGAATTGCGATTTTTTTTCTTTCCCTGTGTCTGGACTTATAAAACCATCTGTAGCCTGTTTATGCAGTTAAGTGTCTGTACATATTATTGCTAATGGTGCCGGAGTTGACTGCGCCTGCAGGAATAACTGACAGGTATTCTGGCCCCGTGTTTCCAGCTCATTCTTTTTGCCAAGTCTCCCCCCACCACAGCACCAATCCCAGTGAAACTATTGTGGAACCCGTTTCCTCTAAAAGAATGAGGATTTAAAAATTGCAGAGGGCGCTGTGGAAATTTACAGCGCGCCGGTGGCTGCAAGTCATTGACAGAGGACTAAGATCTGGTGGGATAGGTAATCTTTATATACGGAACGCTAAAATTGAAAGAGTGCAAGAGATAGTAATTAATACGGGGAAGGAGCTATATGGCATGCCCTTAACTCCATTTTTTTCTTCAGCAAATAAATTTTGGAACATTTATCATTATTCCTTTTTGTCAGATGGCCAAACTATTAGACTTGATATAACTCTTAGACTTTAGACTGCCTTGTTTTTAAATTGCAATCTTGCATTGTAGTCTCGTTTATCATATCTACCTTCATTATGAATGAAAGAGACTATAGAAATAGCTGGGGAGCTGCTCAACCAATGTTGTAAGAAGTGGTATAAAGCTTGAACTCTCATTCAAAATGCACTGGGAAGATATTAAAGAGTTCTCAGTTGTTGCTGTATTTTTATATAAGTATGTAACGTACATAGCAGAGACTGTATATGAAGAGCAAAGTCAGCACTTGGGGGACTAGCGCTGAGACTATGAGTAAATAAGGTTACCATATCCCAGAAGCTCTCTACATGCATGTGTCAAATCATATTGTCCTTTCTGGGAACCTGCAATAACCATTCTGAATGGTGTTAAGCATTCCGTTACCTTTCTTTATACTCTTTATTGCCTGTTCAGCAAAATAGTTTAATTTTGCCTCTTTTTCAGTTTTACATGAATGAAAATGACTTGTATGTATTCTTCTGTTTTACTCCGGCTTGGCTTTATTTTGATTATTCAACCAGGGTGACGCATTTACTCTTTGTGGATGTTTTCTGTTAACATGCTTAAGTGTTTCTCTATGCACTTAGGGTTGGAATCCTTAAAGTGCAGGTATGTGTAAGTAATGCTAACACTTCCTCAAGAATTGTGCCAATTGTGATTCCCAATAGCAGTGGAAGAGAGTTCTCATCACTCTAAATCCATACTGAACTTTGATATCTGAATTTTGAATTTTTTATTTTGATAGGGATGACATGATAACAGGTTGTTGTTTTACTTTGAACATCTCTGATTACAGATGAGTTTGCACATTACTTTATATGTTTCTGAGCTATTTATATTTCCTTTATTATGAATCCCCTTTTTTTAATTTCTTTTGCTTTTTTTTGTTTCAGGATTGGAGTGGATGGCTTTTCTTATCAATTCATAGCTGTAGAAATTGGATAGGGACTTTAAAGATGCATTTTAAGTAGAATTTGAAAAAAAATTTCAAGATATTGGGGGATGAATGATATATGAGGATTACCTAATTCTCTTTAATTTGAACCAGAAGTAGCAAAGTGAATGTGACTAAAAGAAGAAGAAAGCAAGTTTACTTGACCTGGATCTATAACATGGGCTAAAGACCTGCTTTTCAAACTTTAGGGTGCTAAAGAATCTCCTGATGAGATTGTTAAAACACAGATTCCTGGGCCTCTCAAAAGAGATTCTGATTCAGTAGATCTGGTGTAGGGTTCAAGAATTTCATGTCTAAAAAACTTCCAGTTTTTGATGATGTTACAAGTCTGTGGTGGATCATGCCTTTGAGTAGAATGATATTAGAGAATAGCTATTGGATTTAAGGGGCTCCTAAAATCCAGGATTAGGAGCTCCAATAAGTGATTCAGGAGATAATATTTTGGCCCTTAAAACATATTTTCTTTTAGTGAAAGAAGATCTAGACTGAGCCAGCTTTATTTTCCTTTAAGCAAGACTGAGTGTCTTTTTCTATAAAATGGGAATAATAATACCGATCCTTCATGTCTGGCATATTTGCTATGAAAGCCATATAGAAATGGGGCACTGAAAGCTCTTTGGAAAAACCTAAAATCCTATTCAGGTAATTTTTAACTGACATTATACCCCAGAATGAGCTTTTAGCTTTAAGATGTTGTGTGCGCGCATACACGTGCACACATACACACACACACACTCTATCTCTTACTCTCTCTCTCTCAAGTTCCACTCCACGAAAGAAAGGTTAATATTTAAAATAGTGATATAAACAAAATTATATTTAAATCTTCAGCACTGTCGTAGTGTAATACAATAAGGTCTCTAGAGTACCCACTATCTGCTCGGCATGTGCTGTTGAGTATGGAACAAGGAGGAGACTCCCTTCCTTTAAAGAACTGTCTTATGAGGTAACTGCAATGTATGGTGATAATTTTACACAGTGTTTGATAATGAGGAGGCATGTTCTTTGTTGAATAATATATAAAAAGCAGGGAAGAAGTAATACAAAGAGAGTATTGGGAACCTTGTTAGTGTGTATATATAATGTTAACAGAGTGCCCTAAAGAGCTTTAAAATGTGACCTGTAAATTTTTTCTTGCTTGTAGATGAATCGGAGCTCCTCACTGTTCCTGATGGTTGGAAGGAGCCAGCTTTTTCTAAAGAGGACAATCCCAGGGGACTCTTGGAAGAGAGCAGTTTTGCAACTTTGTTTCCCAAATATAGAGAGGCTTACTTGAAAGAGTGTTGGCCTTTGGTGCAGAAAGCCTTGAATGAACATGTAAGCATATTTTATACATTTCTTTGAGATTTTGCTCTCACATATGCCGAATTAAGTGAATGTGTGCTCATGGATTTCTTTTTAAAGGTGCCACGTAGCTAGTTATTTTGGTTTCTTTGGTAGTTTAAACAGTCTAGGTAAATTTTATTCGTATAGTTTATTTTTACTTTAGTGAGTAATAAAATTACTTTGAAAAAGTCACATACCATTAATATTTTAGAGGTTTTATGAACTGTCAAAAACTTATAAAGTCCAAATTTCAGAATGCCTATTCTAGGCTATGATAGTTACCATATCCCTGTTCGTTCTGAACTGAGTCATGTTCCTAATTGCTTAATTTTCATTTTCAATAAAAGCTGTAGATGTGGCCAACTATCTACTATTCTATTTCTGTGGCCCTGTCGCTAGAGAAATGTATTTGTTTTTTTGTTTTTTAAATTGAAGATTGAAACACATAAATTGAGAGGTCAAAGTGACTATAATGAGCCTTAAAAAAAGAATGTATCACATATGATAAGTATTGTTTTATGAAGCTTATGGTTCAATTTTACATGTGTGTGTTTATATGGGTACTAGATTGTGATATAAAATGTATTTCTCACAGTGGGACTGCGCTGGAGTTGGTTGTACCCCATTGTGAAGGTAGCCAGTCCAGCTCCAGGCTGTTTTACAGCTATCTATATCTGAAATTAAACTTGGTCTTCTTCTTTTTTTTTTTCCTTGTAAATTCATAGATACCCAACCTTATGTTGAATCGTTCACCACTTACTCCATTGAATTAGTCTTCAGATTATGCTCCACAAGTCAGATAATTGCATTTTATTTGTGTGGTCGAAGTCTAGTTCTTGCCATTGAGAGTTAATGCTGAGTGTTCCTAATTATTGCTTCTCTCTGAACCCAGGATAATTTGTTTTTACTTTGATTTTAATCCTCAAAACATCTCGAAAATATTTTGGAAGGAAAATAGATTGGAGCTGGGTCCAGGATAGTGAAGCTATACACTGTTACATTTTTATTCTAGGTGAAGTATTCTAAAGCCAAGTATAAATGGTTCAATAGCTTTGATTTGTTATATTTTGTGAAATATGAAATTAATCAAGTATTCATTACTTATATTTAACTACCCAGCTTCTTCAGGGAGGGAGTTGATAGAATTTGAGAGATGGCTTAATGGCATAGAAGTTAATAGCTTGGTTAGTACAGGCTATTTAATTATTTAAACTTGAATTCATTTTTAGACAACTGCTTGTTTTGTTTGGTCTTTTCTTTTTGAAGCATGTTAAAGCAACCCTGGACCTGATCGAGGGCAGTATGACTGTTTGTACTACAAAGAAGACTTTTGACCCATATATCATCATTAGGGCCAGAGACCTAATAAAACTGTTGGCAAGGAGTGTTTCATTTGAACAGGTGAATTTAGAATTGGATTTACTTATATCAACGTTAGACAACCTATAATGTATCTTTCCTGCCTCCCTTCTTCCCTCCCCCTTTTCCTGCATCCTTTCACAATTGTGTTTTCATGTTTGTTTAGATTACAATTATTAGGCTAATGAGTAATTGTAAAAATAAGTAATTGTGAAGCATATTGATGTATTTTTATTTTTCCAAAAGGCAGTACGAATTCTTCAGGATGATATCGCGTGTGATATCATTAAAATAGGTTCCTTAGTAAGAAATAAGGAAAGATTTGTAAAAAGAAGACAACGGCTTATTGGTCCAAAAGGATCTACATTAAAGGTACTTTTTATCAGTGGAAAACTTGAGTTTCTTCCTCTATAATTAATTTTTCATTGTATTGAATTTAACTTAACTGTTCTTTCAATATAGGCATTGGAACTCCTAACAAACTGTTACATTATGGTTCAGGGAAATACAGTTTCGGCCATTGGACCTTTTAGTGGCTTAAAAGAGGTAAGAACTATTATCTTCAAGTAATCATTTGAGAACAAATGAAATTATTTGATTATAATTTATTGGACTGTGGAGACATCTATTTCTGAAATAGGACTGTGCACCATCATTCTTCTTACTATAAAATTTGAATAGGTATTTAAGATCTTAGTCTATAACATGTGAGAAGTGTAGTATATTTACATATGTTCAAGTGATTGGAGAATTGAGCAGACATCTCATTACTTTGCAATAATGTGTACAGCCAATAAAGATCAGATTCTGGAAATATTTTTGTTCCAAGAATACATTTTTGCCGTGTGCAGGGCGCACACCTGTAATCCCAATGACTTGGGAGGCTGAAGTAGTAGGAATGCAAGTTCAAAGCCAGCCTGAGCAAAAGCAAGGCTGCTAAGCCACTCAGTGAGACCCTGTCTCTAAACAAAATACAAAAAAAAAAAAAAAATTAGGGCTGGGTATGTGGCTCAGTGGTCAAGTGCCCCTGAGTTCAATCCCCAGTACCAAAAAAAAAACAAAAAACTTTTTGTTCGAATTTTAGTAAGTATATTAAATATTTTCCTGAAACTTTAATTTGCCAAATGTTATGAGAAAACCTACAGCAAATGCTGTTTCTGTTAACTCATTTTGTTACTGTCACAAAGCTGGAACAGGAAAGTCAAGTTACTTTCTTAAATAAAGTAGCAGTTTCAGTACTTGAACACTCATTTTCAGACTCTTATTTCCAATTCTTTTCTCCTTAAATCACACAGCTCCAGGAGGTTGTTGTATTGGTTCCAAGTACCATATTTCAGCACTAATAGAGAAACATTTTAACCAAGGGAGGTTGACTGCTATTATTTAGAAGCCACTCAGAACAGTTGAAGGAATTATCTTCAATTTGGTGATCATTCCTTGATTTATAGGCTGCCGTGCAATATGTTAACTCCTCTTTTATCTGTTTTATTAAAATATTCTAAGAGTCTAATTTATTTTTCTTTGCAAATTTCAGGTTCGAAAAGTAGTTCTAGATACTATGAAGAATATTCATCCCATTTATAACATTAAAGTGAGTGTTAATTGCATATGACTCTACTAGTGATTGTAAACTACTCTTAACTACAGAAACTTTTCTTGAAATTAAATTTTTTATGAGAGTCTAATATACAAATCTGATAATACAGCTAATTTGAGTGAATTAGAGGTAGAATTCAGCCCATTCAATTCCCCTAGTCCTCCTTTGGGGCTTAGATCTCCAGTGTAAAAATTATTGAAGAGAATACTATAATTTATTTTATAGCTCTGATATAATGAAAATAAGTTTCATAGAATTTATCGTAGATCATAATCAATTCAGTTTTCTTGAATTATGAGCACATGTATTATATTTAAAGATGTGATCTTTCAAAATTTTGCCTATTTCTATTGAAACTGGAATATCTTAGATTACATTAAAACCTTTGGATTTCAACAAATTGTAGTCCCTCAGAAAGATCTGTTACATCCCTATGTGCAAAAAGTTTGTGATTATACTTGGAAATATAATAGTATGATGAGCTCTGTTATTATGGGTATTTATTGAGCAATTCACTTAAATTTGATAAAGTTAAAAAAGTCACTTAGATTAGGTTAAAGTTATTTTGAGTTACATTGGAATATTACAGATAGAAAGCTAGTTGTGCATCTGATGCTTGGTTGGCTTTCTCTTAATATTCCAATGTATATAAAATTCAAATGGAGTGGGGGTGAATGTTAGAATAGTATTGACTTTTGTCTAATCATCAAGAAATTTTTTTTCCTTTCCCTCTTAATGACTATTAAAAAGTTTTTTTAATAGTTTTTTTATTAAAAACTATTAAAGTTTCCTGCTTACAGGGAACATCAGCTAATTAAGAATCCTATCTGCTATAATTAAGTTGAATTATAAAGGTTTTATTAGAATACTCACTGAAAAACCAAGTATCATTTTTATCTCTTTAACAATTCCCTGTTTCTTAATGTAAATTTCTAATGATTTTCTGATGCTTAACTGATTATACATATTTATGATGACATATCTTTTTATTAGTGCAATTGGTTAATTCTACTAAAGAGAGTAGGAACTGTTCCTTTTAAAATTGTATTTGTAGAAGCAATATTTATTATAGTTTAAATAAATGTATCAATTTTGAAATTAAATTTTATTTTATGTGTATGACTGAAGACCTTAATGATTAAACGGGAATTGGCAAAAGATTCTGAATTACGATCACAAAGTTGGGAAAGATTCTTGCCACACTTCAAACACAAAAATGTGAATAAGCGCAAGGAACCGAAGAAGAAAACTGTTAAGAAAGCATACACGCCATTTCCACCACCACAGCCAGAAAGTCAGGTTAGTATTAAATGTTGAACTTTAGTATATAAAGAAAGAACTAATCTTATTTTGTTGGAAATTTTATTTAGGGTAGTTTAGGCGCAGGGAGGGAGAGAGAGTGCATGTTGTCTGGAGAGGTGGAAGAAGCTAAAGTGTAAAAAGGCACATTTTGAGCTAAATGCATGGAGTTGGGGAGTGGGGCCTTTACATTGTGAGTGAACTGCATCAAGATGTTTTTTGTCAGTTGTGTCTCTGTAGCCAATGAAAATGTTCTATAGATTTTTTTAAAAATTCAGAGATTTAGCCCATAGTATCTCTACTTTGCTTCAGCAATATTCTTTTTTGACCCTGTTCTGTATGATTTTAGAAATCACAAATTCCAATATTCATTCTTTTTCTGAGTTATTTTCTTTTCTCTTTGTTTTCTTTCATTCCACTTTTCTTTTTTTTAAAATATTTTTAGTTGTTGATGAACCTTTATTTTATTTATTTTATGTGGTGCTGAGAATCGAACCCACTGCCTCTCGCATGCTAGGCAAGCGCTCTACCACTGAGCCTCAACCCCAGCCCCTCATGCCACTTTTCCCTTCTGTCATACCTTCTAAGACTTGGATTAAGTCCCCAAACTTTCCCATAATGCACTACCATATGAAGCTGGAGAAAATCCTGTCTGTGAATTAAATCTACTAGAGATTCATATTTCCATCCTTACATCCTCAGTATTATCTGGCAGCTCTTGTCTTAATTCTGTCAACACCTTCTCACTTCCTTGACTTTTCTGAAATATTTGAGGTCATCAGGAAAAACTCTTTCAACTTAACTCTTCTCTCTGTAATTCTTTTCCTCATCTGCATTAATTATTTCCATCTGTGTGAATTTCATCTATATCTCTGTTTAAGTATTCTCTCCTTTGCATATGTCTTAAAAATAATTCATCTCTACTAGTTGTTTTCTGCTCAGGATATAAACTCTTCCTTTTCTATCATCTTTTCTCCTCCTTGTTTGAGTTTTTCAGGGAAAGTGTGATAAGAGGCCAAAGGGAAAAAGGAGTAGTGATCATGGTGAAAAAACAATGGAAATGTTAGCTCACGGAGAACGAGATTAGAAGGAAAATGATAGCTGAGAAGAGCATAGTGGAGCTAATCGCTAAAACCTTGCTTCCATAGCACCTGCCATACTTCTTATGACCTGTTTTGTACTAATTGGCTGTTCTTTCTTCTTTACCTCTGCAAATCTCTTTTTACTTTTTTTTAATTAACATGTATTAACTATACATATTAACAGGGTTCAGTGTAATATTTATGTAAATGTATGTACACAGAGCCCAGATAAGACCTATCCTTCCTTTTTCTACCTCTACCCCCAGTCTAGTTCATGTTGCTACCTTTATGAAGAGAGAGAGTATTGACTCCACTGTTACCCTAAAGATGTTGTGACTTTCTTAGGAAATTACTTTTCAACTACATTATTTCTTTTTTTTATGTATTTATTTTTTTATTTGTTTTAATTAGTTACACATGACAGTGCAAGATCTTGACATATTTGAATCAGATGGGGTATAATTTCTCATTTTTCTGAGTTTCCAGGTTGCAGAATTACATTGTTCATGTAGTCACGTATATACAGACAGCAATAATAAAGTTTATTTTATTCTGTCCTCATCTACATTATTTCCAACATAATTATCAATATTGTTTTCAATAGATTGATAAAGAATTGGCTAGTGGTGAATACTTTTTGAAAGCGAATCAAAAGAAGCGACAAAAAATGGAAGCAATCAAGGTAAGACTATGTCTTGCTGACAATGTTAGTAACAACATTCATAGATTCTGAATTCTTAAAACTAACCTTGATTTTACAAATGTACTTTTAATAACATAGGCTAAACAAGCAGAAGCTCTCAGTAAGAGACAAGAGGAAAGAAACAAAGCATTTATTCCACCTAAAGAAAAAACAGTTGTGAAACCTAAGGAAGGTAATGCTCATTTTTCACTTTTTGATGTAAAAAATCCATTGTCTATGAAAAGTAAATCCATAGTGAATTTGTCTAAATCTGTCGTGTTAATAAGTAAAGAAATAATCATATCTTTTATCAGTTGTCTTAGCATTTCCTTAATTATCAAGTCTAAGGACAAGAAGCGAATGAATAGAAGTAATGAAAATTTTGCTATCATGATTCAAAGAGGGCTTTCAGAGAAACTGTTTTTTCTCATTATTTATATGATCTGTGGCTTAAGATTTGTTTCTATGTTGTTAACGTTGAGTACTTATTACTAAACAAAGTAATAACAGGAGATTTTCTAGCCTCATTCTAAAGTAGCCCTCCAAAACTGTCAGTGCACATTGTTTAAACTGTCATGCCATTTCCTAGCAACACGTACATAACCTGTTAATTTGTTTTCAGTTTGTGCAATCTGTCAATTAAGTACTTTGGATACCTAGTAGCTAGTTAACCTCAGCCTGTGTTAACTAAGAATGTAGCTGCTTTGTAGTGGAGTATGTAATGGAGGCTTTAAATCTCTGTGCATCTCAAGTGACTAGGCTGTACATATGGTGACATTTTACCTTGGGATTCTTTCATGTTCTTAAATACTGTGTGTAAATGTAAACAGATGCATTTTTTTCATTGTTGCCTTTATTTTGTTCATGTTTTTGGCATTGATTAGATGCTTTTGTGTTGTTAGGAAGACCTCCAAATACTCTGGAGCTATTGTCTTTTTTTACATAAAGCTTGTTAATACTAGTCATTAATAATAATATTGGAAAGCCTGAAGGTTTTTTGGGGGGAGTAGGAGGTGTGCTGGGGATTGAACACAGGGCCTTGTGCAGGTGAGGCAGGCACTCTACTAACTGAGCTATATCCCCAGGTCAAGCTTGAAGTTTTTGTTATGGTCTTAGATGAAGTAGATTTTGACCTGTAGCTTCATGATTTGCTTATTAAAATTATTGAAGCTGGAAAAGCTACGTGTAATATTTTTTATAAAATGTAACTTTAAATTATTTCAGTGTGTAAGATGGAAAATTGATATATTAATGAGTAACGTTCCAAAATAAGGAAAAGAATGTAAATAATCTCAAGATTTAGGGAAAAAAGATTAATTAAATTCAGTAATTGGTACAAATTGTTTAAACTGTCATGCCATTTTCCTATGAACTCTCACAAGTGCATATTTGAGACTATGATTTGAAGAAATTTCTAACTTTAGCAACATATTGTATATTTTATAACCTAACCTTTTGGTTATTAAAATAGTGATCTGAAATTATTATCTAAAACACATTGTTTTAATTTGTATAGAATTGCATACATTTTCTTTTTAATTTTTGTAGTATCTACTGAAACTAAAATTGATGTGGCTGCCATCAAGGAGAAGGTTAAGAAAGCAAAGAACAAGAAACTGGGAGCTCTTACAGCTGAAGAAGTTAAACTTAAGGTGGAAGCAGATGAAAAGAAAAAGAAGAAAAAAAAGTAACATTAAAAAAATAACCAAAACTCCCTGAACTAGAATTTATAAAACTATCTCCTTTTGTAAAGGATTTTGAGATATTAGGGCATTAGTTGTCCTATGTGTGAGAAATAATATTTCTGAGTTTCATATAATAATATTCTTTATAAATATATTCTTGTGTATTTTGAAAAAATTTGTGCTAGAAAGTGCTATGTGTACATTGTACCTAATCAGGCAGGTTTTGCCTGAGCATGAGTTTAGGAGTAACTTTTAAGTTTTTTTATATATACATTTTTGGAACGTGACTATTGTAATTTTTCATTAAATCCAAAGTCTGATGTCATTGGTTAGTTTTTAAACATAATCATGTCCCAGCATTTGGTTTTGAGGAAAATAAATGCCAGTTTTTCAGTGCATTCTCTCTCCCTGATTATCCCTTCTTACAATTTTGTTTTATTTTAAGAGTAAACAGCTCATAAGCAGAAAATCAAGGCCTCTGAAATCAAATACTTCAGTTATCAAGTCTGAGGAAGTGTTAAACCGGAAAGATACCAAATTGCAAGAGAACAGGGAAACCAGGTACATTGAGCTAAAGCAGTGATTGGTGAATCACTGGAGTTAACTTAGAATCACATAAGTCTAGCTCATTCATTTTATAGATTTGGAAGCTAAACTAAAGCACAGGAACTAGATTACATATGGAAAGCCCAGTGGTGGCAACCTGAAAACAATGCTTATTCATAAAAAAGTGCAAAGTAAAGATGAGTTTATTCTATAATTAGGAAGTTGAGCCATTTTTATTTTGAGCAAGTCTTTACTGCAGCAGTGTATTTTTTAAAAATAATGTTTTAAAGTGGAAATTAGAAATACACCCAATTGTTACTTTTTTTAAAAAGCCATATGAATAAATCTCTCCCTCCCCCCCAGACTGCATTAGTCTAAAAGACTTAAATTAGGGTATTTTTTCTTTATCCAAATGGTAATTATAACAGACATTATTAGAATTATTGAATTAGCAATAAGAAAGAGAGATGTGTATCTGTTTCGTAAAAATATGGGCCAGGCTGGATCCACAAGAGAGTAGTAACCTGTGAAATAAACATAGAAAGTCCTCTGAGACATTGTTTCTCATAATGGAATGATATAAATTACATAGTGCTTAATGAAACAATTTAGGATGTGTATACATACGTGTGACCTTGTCTCTCTTTGGATTAACTGTGAAGTCAGGGAGAATTTAAAAAAAAATAAAAAAAGTTAGGTACAGGTAAGATTTTTATTTAAAAAAAAAGAAGTGTAACTATTGACTTCATTGCAGTGATTTTCAAAGGTGATTTAAGAATTTTTTATTTATATGACAGCAGAATGCATTACAATTCTTATTACACATAGAGAGCACAATTTTTCATATCTCTGGTTGTATACAAAGTATATTCACACCAATCCATGTCTTCATACCTGTACTTTGGATAATAATGATTATCACATTCCACCATCATTAATAACCCCATGTGCCCTCCCTTCCCCTCCAACCCCTCTGCCCTAATAGAGTTTGTCTATTCTTCCCATGATGCCTCTTCCTATCCCACTATGAATCAGCCTCTTTATGTCAAAGAAAGCATTTGGTTTTTTGGGATTGGCTCACTTCACTTAGCATTATCTTCTTGAACTTCACCCATTTACCTGCAAATGCCATGATTTTATTCTCTTGTATTGCTGAGTAATATTCCATTGTGTATATATGCCACATTTTTTTTTTTTAACCATCTATTGAAGGGCATCTAGGTTGGTTCCACAGTTTAGCTATTGTGAATTGTGCTGCTGTAAACATTGATGTCGCTGTGTCCCTGTAGTATACTGTTTTTAAGTCCTTTGGGTATAGACCGAGGAGAGGGTTAGCTGGGTCAAATGGTGGTTCCATTCCCAATTTTCCAAGAAATCTCCATATTGCTTTCCATAGTGGCTGCACCAATTTGCAGTCTCACCAGCAGTGTATGAAAGTACCTTTTCCCCCACATCCTCGCCAAAAGAATTTTTTTGTCTTAACTGTACTAACATTGTATTTTTAAGTCTGCTTTTTATATGAACTTTTTATACAGAGGAAACTATCTATTATAAATAGAAAATTATCTTACATAACTATATCCTTCAGATAATAAATACAATCAAGAGTAAAAAAAATTTAAAAATTTAAATCATATTAGAAATAATCAACATGAGCAGTTTATCAACATATTTTTCTTGAGAATGGGTCCTTCCCTGAGAACAACGATATTGTGAATGCTGAATTAATACTAAAGGGACAGTAGCTTCTTTCATCCATTCCAGTTTATCACTAAGTCATCATTAGGACTTTTGGCTTATTAAAAGCAGTAACTATGCGCTTTTTTTTACTGAGCTTTATTTAGATTTTTTATTTCAGAGTACTGGGAGGAAATAAGTCCCACAACTGCCTTTAGCCTTCTTGATTTTTTGTTTTATTAAATGACCTTTTCTACACCAGTTGTACATCAGTTGCTCTTGGGTTCCTGTAATGGAAGCCATCAAGTACCTAGCCCTCTGGGCACTTGTGAGCATCTTTGAACATCATCATACCTGGGAGTGAGCTTTGTGCTGAGTTACCATGAAGCTGCTAACCTAACTTTTTGCAATTATATCCATGAATTCAAGGGTGTGATATTCTAATTATTTTTTTCTTGTATATATTTTTAAATATTCAACAAATATACATCTTAATATACATCTACTAGCTAAAATTACCTTTGTATCAAGGGTATGCTTGACATATGTTGCAAAACAGTTTGGTATGGCCTCTTGGTATTTATTGAACTACAGATAGTATCTAGAAGACTATGAACAATTTTTTTTTCTGGTGTTTGCCATAATTTGTGAGTTGAAATCTGTTAAATAAAAGGTTTTATCTAACTTTACCCTACTCAGACTTCAGGATAAAAGGTGGGATGGGGATGGTTATCCTTTCATTTTTTAAATTATAAATCCTGTCATTCCCCGCTAGTGCAGAAAAATGGAATGCTTTCAAGGAAGCCAACATTTTACAGAAAAATTGAGTTTTCTGAAAATTAGTGGCAGAATTAATCTGGAGGATGCTATGGTAAATGGGTGATATGTTTTACAATATCTTGTAAATATGCAAGTTAGCATGTGCTTTTACCCTTAGGAGCTCAGGGATTTTCATTCTTGGACTAGAGCTTTAATCTGAGTTTTATCTCCCAAGATTAGAGACCATCTCAAGTTTAGAGCTCCAAAGATCAAAAAAAAAAACTGTCAGCAATATTATTGTGATGGCATTACTAATTATGTAGAAACTTTAAAGGGAAAACATGATTTTACCCTAAGTTATTTCACCAAACCCATGAGGTGATACTATCAAGCACATTTTATAGTTATGGAAATAGGTTCAGAAAGTTGCCTGAGGTCACAGTGGTAGAACTGGACACTGAACTGGAAACTGGCATATGGTTCTAAAATCTATGGTTTTAACTCGTATATTATACTGCCTAATGTGGAAGAAACTTATACACGGATACACACTTGTGTATACATGTATGCTTTGTTGTAACACCCTAAAAGAATTTGGTTAACATGTTGTTTTCTCAGAAGAGATTAGTTGCATTTTGGATACATGTTACTGGGTTTTCCTAACAAACTTGATGTGAGTGGAATAAAAATAAAAAAAAAAAAATGGTTGGACTGAGGGAAAAATAACTGGCTTAGAGAGTTGATCCAGAAAGTGCCCCTATGCCTGGAGTAAGGTTTACAGTTTAATGTTTACAAATAGGAAGGAAACAGCAATTTAATAGAATCCTAATTTTTTGTGTGAAAGAAATCTTAGGAAATGTAAGCAATGCAACATTTTTTTTCCAAATGAAAATGTATGCAGTAAAATTTGGCTCACTGTCCTATCCTAAGCATCCCACCCCAGCCCTGCTGTTCTGAGCAGTTGAGTTTGTTACAGATAAAGGCACAAAGTATTATGCGATTTGCACAATAGCTTACGAGGTTTTCCTTCACACCATGAGAAAATAAAGGATATTTTAAAAGATCTTCTTAAAGAATATCTCAAATTTTTCTTAAACATATTTATTTCTAGAACGGTAAGCCATGGGGTTGGTTACTCCTCCATGCCAATTTCCTCGAAAACAGCTATTAGGATAAAATAATTACACTCTTAACCGTAGAGAAAGGCATAATAGTTTCTATTCCATTATTTCATTTGTGGATTGTTCCTTTTACTCACCACAGAGATTTTGTAAACATTTGTCATCTGGAGGACAAGCACTGCAGGTGTATCCCTTCTGGTATGGCCAAGTTGGGTAATTTCCTCTGTAAAGCAGAAGAAGCCTGTCTATTAGTAGAGTTTTTGTTTCCAATTACAATTTACTGTGAATCCTTGACCAGATCCAGAATGATAATAAGGTGGAAGTGAAAATTATTGAGAGCTTGTAAGCAACCAGTAGTTCATAAAATGTGAAGAAAAGGAAATAAATGGAAAGCTACTAGTATGTGTAGGGTTCATTCAATGGCCCTCTTAATTTACATTATTTCACTTCTGACAATTCTGGGAGGAAGTTATTTTATTTCTGAGGATCTAAGAGATTAGTGACTTGCCCCAAATCACAATTTACACATACCTGAGTCAGGAGGAAAACTAGATTTGTCTGACACCAGGGCTGTGCTTCCTCTACTGTTCTCTGGCCTGAGTAATTGCTGTCATCCAAAAATCTGCCCATCTCATGAAAGCTATCATGGCCTGTATTTACTCTCATTATTCAACCTAGCCACCATAGTTTTTATTGGATAGGAAATGCCTTTCAAAATACACACACACACACACACACACACAGAGGAAATTCTGAATTACAGGTTGTTTTCACATAAAAGATGATCTGTGAATAATAGCTAAATATTGGTCATTCACTATGTGTTAGGCACTGTTTTAAGCATCCTTGAATGAGATAATCTTCACAACATTTCTATGAGGATGTTACTGTTTCTTATTTATCCCTATTAGATAGCTAATGGCTTAGGCACAGTACAAATAACTGACCAAAGTCACTGATAGAAAGTGAAATTATATATTATATATATATATATATTTTTAGAGAATTTTTTTTTTTTTTTTTTAAATTTTTTTTTTTTTTAGAGAGAGAGAGAGAATTTTTTTAATATTTATTTTTTAGTTCTGGGTGGACACAACATCTTTGTTTGTATGTGGTGCTGAGGATCGAACCCGGGCTGCACGCATGCCAGGCGAGCGCGCTACCGCTTGAGCCACATCCCCAGCCCTTTTAGAGAATTTTTTAATATTTATTTTTTAGTTTTCAGAGGACACAACATCTTTGTTTGTATGTGGTGCTGAGGATTGAACCCGGGCCACATGCATGCCAGGCGAGCG